TTTATCGATAATTATAACTAAGAGCTCAACCCGTGTTATTACCAAAACTAATATTTGAGTTCGAAATTATAGCAATTACAAAAAGAATAATAATCATAGCAGACAGCAACTCTTTTCGGCGGATATTTTATTCAAAAAAGGACTCGCCTTCCAAACAGACCTTCCAAGTATTTTCATCAACCTCCCTGGATTCTGATTGGCTGAAAATTACCCAGTTGCAATCAAGGCAAAACTTGCACCCAGACCTCAACGCGAATTCGCGAGCTAACTGCTTCCATAAATCAAATACAAGACTGCTCGTATCAGGGCGAAGCCCTGAATGTTCCGACTGCCTTTTAAGGTCTATGGAGCATTAATAAAATGAAAAATTTCAATGTTTTAGTAAAAATAATTAAAAAAAAATTTTGAAAAAATTTGAGATTTTATGTAAAAACATCCCCCACACGTCATATTAAGTATAAAGTGATAAACTTTGCGCCTATTAACAAATCAGTTATGGCATAAAATCATCATTGAACCAATTTGGACCGATTTCTAGGACGGATTAAATCTCCGCTTACGCGTTAATAGCGCGAAATTTATCGCGCGTTAATTGTCCCAAATTGGCCAAAATGGCAGTCTTTAAACCCCCGTAACTTTATGAAAAATGATCACAGGTAAAATATCTTTTCAAATTCATGCTCAGGACAACAATAGCTTTCGAATGATATTTAAAAAAATTCCGCAAGAAAATGGCTAGTTAAAAAGTCGAAATTTTTCTGAAGAAAAAAAAACCCACCCCGAGCACAAATATTCCGTTACTTTTGTATCGAAAGTCGGAACAATAACTTTTCTCTTTTAGAAAACTAAAGTTTCAGCGTTTTGAAAAAAAATTGATATCAGAAATTAGTGAGCCCAGATCGGCAGTTCCGATTTTGAGTTTTGTTTAACCTGACATTATTACAATTCTAGGGAAAACATTTCGCGAGCTAACTGCTTCCATAAATTAAATATAAACTTTCTATTTAAACAACTAAAGTTTCAGCGTTTTGGGAAAAAAATGATATCAGAAATGAGTGAGCCCATATCTGCAGTTCCGATACTGAGTTTTGCTTAACCTGAACATTATTACAGTTCTAGGGAAAACATTTCTAATGTAAGACATTTAATTTTGTTTACAGATTCTGACAAATTAAAGGATTATTTACCCGGGTTGACTTTCATGCGCGAAAATTCCATAAAAAGAATAAGGATAGCCCGGTGCTGAGAAGGTAGTACAGAATGATCCAACCATATTCATAAAAACTCCAAAAAAAAGTTCTTGAAATTATTAAGTTCTTCAAATTAGTTTCGTGGAGTGATGATAAAGCTATACACTTGCGTAAAAAGCAAGTAAATTAGTTATAATTGACGCCAGCTGTCTTCAAAAAAAATTAATAACAAAAAAGCAAAAACAAATCGTTTTTTTTTTCAATTTTTTAACAATATTTTTGAAAATTAAAACAAAATTTCTTGCCAGGGACGTGCCAAATATAGCTATGAAAACTAGTTTCCAATGGAAAGCGTCAAGATTTTTGAGCCTAAATAAACAATTCAACAAGTTATTTTCACTTCATTTGGTCGAACTCAGACGAAAAACTGAAAAATTTAAACCGGTTTTTCTCGCCACTGGGAATTCTTCCAAGAAAACTTTAAAATCATTCGAATCACAACTGATAAGGTTTTATTAAGAGATATCGCCCGGAATCTAGTCTGATTATTATTCGTGGTACCTGATTTAGCGCGAAAAACAAAAAAAAAACTGAAACACAACCGAATACAAAGTTCCTCCCGATTTTCAATGGTCAGAACAATGACTATCAAACAATTCCATGAAAAGAATGCCTATCCAGCTATTTCATACGTGAAGTGTATGGAAAAACTGCTTATCACTTAATTCCAATATGAGAAAAATTTGTCGTAAAAATTCCAAAATAAAAACTCTAGAACATTTTTATTAATTCAATTGGGTCGAAAGTGAATTTTATATGTTACAGCGGTTTTTGTTCCGACTTTCGATACGAAACTAACGGAATATTTGTGCTCGGGGTGGAGTTTTTTTTCTTCAGACAAATTTCTACTTTTTATCTAGCCATTTTTTACGGAATTTTTTTATATCATTCGAAAAGTATTGTTGTCTTGAGCTCAAACTTGAAAAGATACTTCACCTGTGATCATTTTTCATAAAATTATGGGGGTTTAAAGATTGCCATTTTGGCCAATTTGGGACAATTAACGCACTATATATTTCGCGCTTTAAACGCGTAAGCCGAGAGTTAATCCGTCTTAGAAGTCGTTCCAAATTGGCTTAACAAAACTTATTTGCCAATATTGATTTGTTACAAGGAGCGAAATCTATCCTTTTGTACTTTTTAATGGCGTGTGGGGGGATGATTTTCATTAAAAAATTTCAAATTTTAGAAAAAAAAAATTCAATTTGTTTTATTACATTTAATTTTTTGATGCTATTACTGCTCCATGAAACCTTAAAAGGCAGTCGGAACATTCAGTGTTTCGCCCTGATACAAGCAGTTTTGTAATATTTTCTGCTTTTATATGCTAAAATAAACTGCAATTTATCAAAATGAAAAAAGACCAGGATACTAATTTACCATATTTGGAGAGTAAAGCATTTCTAGCCATTCAAAAAAAACTACTATTTTTAATTTATTTAACCAAGTTTCAAAAGGTTTTTCTACGTGAGAATATTACCACTTAACCAAAAAAATAAGTTATTTGAGAAAATCTTTGAATTTTCTGGTTATCTTTTAAACAAAAAGTAATTTATTGACGCGAAATACTTAGCAACCTATTTTTGATATTTAGAAAACATGCTATCTTAAATTTTTGATGAATGAGCTAATTTTTATGACAGAAATTTCAAATGAGTTTATGTACGCATAAAAATGAAAGGAACTGAATAAACAGAAAATTCTCTTTTTACTGGAAATTATATGGTAAACCTGTGTGGGATACTCTCCTTCCATTATGTCTAGCTAACAGTTTTTAAATGAGCAAAACAATTTTTGAAAGCTAATGATGACTTGAGTTGAAAATTTAAAAAATATGTTTTACCTGAGATTATTTTTTTATTATTGATGAAGTTCGTTTGATCTTTTCGCAACAAATTTTGAAGAAAATGACTGAATACTTATGTTTGGTTTGGCTTTCCTTGCTCGAACTAAGTTCGACTCTCTAGCTAAGCATCCTGACAATACCGTTGTCTTGCGTTTTTCATAAAGGAGGTTTGAAAACATCTTTTAACGCGTGGTATATTGTATTCTTATAACGAGCAAGCGGCGAATTAAATCATTCTAAATTCAATTGAGGCCATACTTTTTTGACTTTTGATACGTTACACGACATTATATGCGTCACTTTGTACTTAACGGGTCTTTCCTATTACAGCCCAGACTGGTTAAAAAAATTATTATGACCATCTACATTGTGATTTTTCCTATTACTATTGGTAAAAAAAATATTATGACCATCTTCATTGTGATTTTGCTATTGAGGTGTTGGGGTATAATTTGATGAAACTTTTGAAAAAATCTGAAAAAATCTCAATTTCAATTGCATTTTCCATCGTTTTTTCCAGCGAAAAGATTTTCATGGTCATCAAAGGGAATCGGAGTACTTAGGGCTTTGACTTGTTACGAGAAGTCTTGTCCGTCTTTTAAGATAGCTTTACAATGCATTGAGAAACAAAGCCAAATTTTACATATTTCGATCAAATTATAGGTAGTCAAAACTATTATTGCTTTAGATGACCTGACCATCTTTGCTATTCGTTTAAACAAGAGACTCACTAACATTAATATTAAGAAAGTATTTTATTTTAGCTGCGAAACTGCGTAATTGGTAATGAGTTCAATGGTCAGATAAAAAGCCTCGCTAAATTGAAAAGACTCAATTTACTGCAATTGAAAAGTGTTGCTTTACTACAATTGAATTTTAGGGAATAAGTATATAGACTACAAGCAAGCCAATTTAACTGAATAACATCTAAACCCATATAGACAGAGATATTTAGACTTTATACCTTATGGGCATGGTACTTTTTTTGATCCAAAGCCTACCACGCCAAGTCTCAAAAGCGAAATTTCTCAAAAGCGGAGTTTCGGGGAATCGCGTTTTCCCGTGGAGTTCGACGCAACACCAACACCTTGTACGAGTTAAAATTTGACCAACAAACCCTCAAGTTAAAAAAAAATGGCTCGCATTTCCAATATCAAATTGGCCAACCAAATATAAAAAACTCAAAATTAAAAAAAAATCCCTAATCAACTATTAAACGAATGATAGTAGATGTAGAAATATTTGGCTCGTGATTGATTTTAGTCAGTGGAGAATCTAGGATTTCTCGAGGGGGGCGCATTTCAAAAGCTTTGTTTACCCTTTTTTAGATTGACCAAATTTTTTTCAGAGCTCTCCCAAATCCGCTACTGGTATTAGTTAACATCATTTTTTACGGTTTTGAGAGAAATCGATATAAATTTGAGACATTGTTAAGGTGAGGTGTTATTAGTTTGAAGGAAAATCAGTTATATTCTACAACAATTGATGAGGGAAATAAAGTTTTTATCTTGTAGATAAGACGGTTGGGTTGGCACATAATAGTTTAAACACATGAATATATCACTTTATATTAAAAAATATTAAAACGGAAAACAAAAACTCAAGGTATAGTTATACAAGTAAAACTCTGTAGAACATCGAGATATTATTTTATTAAAAGTAGCGACACCCCCACCCTTCCTCCTCCTAACTTCCTACCTTTAATCACACTTGTTTTCGTATCTAAAAACAACCTATTTATTTTGAGCTTTATAAGACACTTCAGCCATCATTCATGTTTATCGCGGCATAAATATCATATGCATTTGCTTGCTTTTTTCTACATTTAAATTATTTTTTTTCTATGTATTTTTGATGATGCCCAATTTAATTGAGCGCGAAACACAAAAATTTAGAGAGGGAGTTAAACGTGAAGGTGGGTAGGCGGGGGCCTTTCTGGGGAGGGAGAGACGGTAGCATTTCGCGCACACAGATGTCTTTATTTTAGTCACAAGTTGCTTTGTGGGATTCGATGCATGTTGCAGTTAGTGTTAAAAGTGTCCTCTGCCCTTCCCCTTCTTCCAATTCGGTTTCTCTGCATCTGCTTCTGGCGGATCACCACTTGACTGGGGCCGCCCATTTGACCCAGCGTCTCACCGTGGAACTTGACGCACGGCAGCCAGCGGAAAATGTACTTGAACCCATTGCGGAACCTAAACAAAAAGAAAACTTGACACTTTTTCTTTTCCCCACACCTCACACGGCCATCAATTTTTTTTGTGTATTGAGTGGTTTTACAAGGTTGGTTATGAGGACCAAATATGTTTATCATGGCCTAATTAGTCGGTATGTCAATTTTCATAACAATTGGACAACGTGAACAATAATTTTACTGCTGAAAACTTGCAGCCGGGGGGAAAACAAAACCGGAATCTTGAGATAGGATAACCCTTACTCATATAGCACTTTGAGTTTCCAACTTTTGAGAAACAAAAATGATGTCATATGTAAATCCTAGTTAAAAAAACATCGCTTCTTAGTTCAATGAAAAAAAAGTCAATTTGTTTGGATTTTCGCTGCCTAAATTTTCCTAACTAATTTCCTTGTTATTCATTTATATTCGATTTCCCGGTCGCGACCTTTTTCAAGGGCACTATGGGCCTCGTACAATAAAGAAAAGTTGCCAACAAAGATCAATTTTGCGCGTGATAACGCATAAAATAGAGCATATTTTTTTGTTCAAATTAAAGGATTTAGTTACTGCTTATGCTTTAATAGAACAAAAATTATATCCTAATTTAGAACTAAATAGCCCAATTTAAAGTATTGTCGCCAGGTTCAAATTATCATACTTTTGTGAAAACTGATCATAGGTGAAATATCTTTTAATTGTTATTTTCAGATAAATTGTCTTTCAGATGGTATAAAAAATTCCGTCAAAAAATGTTTGGTAAAAAAGGAAAATTGACTGATTAAAAAGCCGCCTCATGCATAAATAAATATTCAGCAGTTCTTTGAAAGCCAGAAGAATGAAGAGAAAGAGAAAAACATTTAATCGGGAACAAGTGATTACTGAGAATTTTCTCGAAGGGGGGGGCAGATTTTCCAAAAATTTTTCGAAAAATTTGTCTACCTTTTTTTTCGTCGACAAAATTAATTTTCCAGCTCTCCCAAGCACTTAAAAGTCCCTGTTTTGCCAAAATTTCAAAATTTCAACTGCAGGCAAAATTTCGAAAAAAAAACAAGCCAAAAAAACGCGTTTTTAGGAAAATTTTAACCAAAAAATTGCGTTTTTTCGGCGCGCGCTCCCCCCTCAAAATTAGTATATATGGCGCCAAAGGCGCCTTTAAAAAATTTTAGGGTCGGTCGACCAAAAATGGATTTCTTTAAAAGTACCAAAGGGGGGACGTCTCAATAAAAAAAGAGAAGTAGAAAATATAGACATCTGGAAATGTTTTGTAGCATTAACCTAAAATACCAACGAGTTGAACACTAAGAGCTTTCATAGATCCAAACCAGAAGTTTGTATAAGATGAAAGCAACAAGATTCCATAGAAATAGTTCACTTTTAATTGACTTGTTCTGATAGTTTTTTGAGTACTTGGAAATTGCAATCTCTCACATTTAAGCTTTTTGACGAATTTCAACAGCCTACCCACCCAATTTTAAAATGTTTATCTCAAAGAGCCAATCTTCCAAACTGGTTTTTGTAATCTTTATAAGTTTTCTTTGATATCTATAATTTTTGCTACGTTTGGATATGAGCGCATCCTATTCCTAACTCAACACTCTAGAAAAATTTTGTCATCTGCTTACTACCTTTTGCATTTTGAAAATGATTTAATTTAAACAATTCAAAACACAGTTCGATCTTCGGTACTGAATTACAACGCTCTAAAATTGACTTTTTTGCATAATTTTAAAACGTCAAGGCGCAAGTAAATTCAAGCAGCTTAACATGTAACGAAACTAAACTGAGGTAAGATGTTCAATGATTTTTTGAAAGCCAAACTAAACTACTCTTGTCAGGGCGAAGCGTTGAATGTTCCAACTGCCGTTAAAGCTCTAGGCTCTTTTTCTTTTTTCCCCAACTGCGAAGTGTTACAAACAAAGTTTTGTTCACATTGTTCGATTGTTATGAAAATTGACATACGGACTAATTATGTTATGACCAGAATATTTAGTCTTCATAAAAACCTTATAAAAACACCATAAAATTCATGTTGGTGTTCATTACACCATAAAATTTATGTTTGTGTGAGGGGGGGGGGAAGAACTAAGCTCTACGAAGTAGTGTTCGCTTCCAAATTTTCAAAAAAAATTTAACAAAAGGAATATTTTTTGATAGATTTTTTTTGAAAACCATCACAAATCCACGCAATGTTAAGTAAAAAGTTATACATTTCGCATAAAGCAAAGCATTTATTAGACAAAGTAGGATGCTTGATTCGATTTGGAACAATTTTTTTGACTAATTAAACCTCCGCTTATGATTTAATAGCATTAAACATTTCACGCGTTAATCTTTAAACCTTCATCACTTTACGGAAAACTATCACAAGTGAAATATTTTTTGAAATTTGAGCTTAAGGCACAATACGTTTTGGCTGATTGGAAAAGAGGCTGCAAACTTATTATGTGAAAAATCAAAATTTATCTGGAGAAAAAAAAACCCGGAGCGCAAACATTCCGTACTTTTCTTGGAAAGTCAGCTCAAAAAGGCTGCTCGTATCAGGGCGAAGGCCTCAATGTGTTCCGACTGTCTTTCAGTATCTTTGAAATAGTTTTTCGAATATACGATTGAAAAAAATTATAAAAGTATACAAAATGGAACAAGGATAGCCACTTACTGTGCAAGCAGCACATAATGTTCCGACCAGTCTTAAAACTTACAAAATTGTTTTTTTTTTCAAATTAGTGTCGTTTTTTCGGCGTAGTGTGATGAAGGAATCGGAGCGAAAGCTAGAACTCAAGCATTTTTGTCAGTCATTGTACAAGATGCAAATGAGAAAACAAATTTTGATGGCAAAAAAAAAAAAAATCGAAAACAAAAATCTTTTTTATTTAAACTTTTAATTTTTTCCCTAATTTTGAAGTTTTGATTATTAAGATAAAGCTAAATTAGGATTTAAATGCCAAAAACTAATTCCATATAAGCAAAACTAATTATTCGAGGCTTAAATTAAGTCTAAATAAGCTATTGTAAGCCTGCGCACTAGCTCGAATCTCGATGAAAAATCAAAAATTTTAAACCGGTTTTTCTTGACACTTTTTGAGAAATTTTATGTCGTTCGAATTACGAATGAAAAGGCTTTAACACCCGCGCAATGCCCAGGACAAAATGAAAATCTTAGCCCTTGTTAACGCGATTTTCACACCCGAAATTTTCTATCCAAACCATGGTAAGATTTCAAAGCTAGTTTAAATTGCCGCTCATGCGTTTATCGCTCGAAATAAATTGCACGCTAATTGTCCCAAATTGACCGAAATGGCAATCTTTAAGCCCCCAGATTTTTACGGAAATTGATCAGAGGTAAAACAATTTACAAACTTCAGCCAACAGACTTTTAAGGAAGAAATAAAATACCTTTCGAATGACATAAAAATTGTCCCCCAAAACGGTTCTTTAAAACCGTTTTGTTCTAGAGAAAAAATCAGCCCGAGCCCAAATACTCCGTCACGTTCTTCAAAAATTGGAAAAATATTCAGACAATGTAGCGGCGAGAAAAAGTGTAACAATTTTTAAGGCACTCATAGTTATTTTCGAGATCTCAAAAATCATTTTCAGGACTGATGATGTCTGTTTTTTGGAGGATTGCAGCGTTATTCACTGGTTCACCTTTTAGAACAAATCTTTGGTAGACGCAGTGTGAAAGTTATTCCAATTAATTCAATTAACAAAATCTGAATCATTTCAATTCAACTTTGACTAGAAGGTTACTTCTTAATAACTTTTTTTAGGTCGACCAAATTAATTTTTTGATCTCTCCCAAATCACCACGTAGACCCTGTTTTGGCCAAATTTTTTGTGGAGCAGGCGTATTTTTGAAAAACAGGCCAAAAAGCGTTTTCAGGCACTTTCTTTTTGGACAGTTTTGCTTGAATTTTTGTGTTTTTTGGTGCACTCTTCCCCTCAAATTTAGTATATATTGGCTTCGAAGGCGCCTTTTAAAAAAACTTCGGTTTCATCAACCAAAAATGGGGATCTTGAAAAAGTATAAAAGGGGGACCCTCTAGGTCGGTAGGGGGTCGAATCCTTGAGAAAAAAAAACGTGCGATAACCCCCCTTCACCCTAACGCTAAATCCGCTGGTGTCTACATTTATCCGTTCCTCTACCATAAGTAGACCGTTATTAAGGCCGAAATAGCTCATAGTTAAAAAAATATCGCACAATTTGCATAGTTTTGATAGTTTTTATTAGCGAGGAAAAAGACAAAAAAGATGGAAACGAAACATGGTTTCCAGCAGCTTGCTTCATGTTGCTATTCCTTGACCATAAATGCTTGACCCCCTCCCGCCCTCACCTGTAGTAATTTTTATGTCCTGGTTTTTCTATTGTTACAAAAATTGCCAGGCAACCTAATTAGGCCTTGAAAAACATATTTTAATCATCATACTCTACTTTTTCCAACCCCTAGTTGCACCATAAAGTTGATGCTTATTTAAGGAGGGGGGTGGGGGCAACTGGAGATTGGTCTTCAATCTGGATTGTGAAAGGGGCTGGACATAGGAACTGGGTGATAGGTTGCGGGCACTCACGTGGCGTTGAGACTGCAGTATACCATTGGGTTGTACATGGTGTTGCTCATGGCCAGCCAGAACGAACACAGGTATACCTGAAGACAGGAGAAAAGGAATACTAAGAACAAGATTAGCATGTAGCTTGGCAACTGGCACAAAAACTTACTTGATACTGATACTTTAAAATTTGAATGAAGAGGATTTTAAAAAATTTCAATTATTTTTTTTTTTTTTTAAAATCTTGGGCTCTTTAGTACTTGGGCTCTAGGAAAAATTGAAACTTCGGAAAACTGGTTTAAAAAATGTGGATGAAACAAAGATACAGGCAAAAGCAAGGATAGCCATTTACTGTGCAAGTAGCACAGAATATTCCGACCATAGTCTTAGAAAAAATTCAACAAAAAAAATTTTCTTCCAAAGAAATGTCGTTTTTTTTCTGCGTCCGTGGTGTGATAAAAGGATCTAAAAAAAACTAGAGCGTACAACTACTCGACAGTCATAGTAAAGTAAAGAATTTGAAAAACAATATACGTAGAAAAATTACTACAAAAATAAAAAAGAATTTAAAAAATCAAAAATGTTGCAACCATGCACCAGCTGCAACAAATCTTGAAGCTTTCTTGAATTTTTGAAATCTATAAATTTCCGAAATTAGGCAAAAACCGGTTTTTCTCGAAGTAAAACACACCTAAAAACAAAGTTCCTCCCCATTTTTCAAATGGTCGGAACAATAAAATAAAATTGGGATGATCAGATCTTAGTCAATTAGCAGGATTACACTGTGATAAAATAGCCTGGAACCCCCCCCCCCATTAATATTAACACTAGGTTTTCTCGAAACTCGGAAAATTTTTCTGCAGGCCGCCTCACGAATCAAAAATGCGCGAGAAAAACCATACTAGCCCTCGCTATTTCTCTTTCTAGAAGTGTGGTCGTAACAAAATCTAAGCGGTCAACAAGATTTTTATGAAGTCCAAGCACTTATGAAGGAGAAAAAAATTTCCGTCTGTTTCTTACCTTGAGTACGCTGTGTCCGAAGAAGGAGCGATCGAAAAAGTTGATGAGGAACACGAGCTGGAAGAAAATCCACGTGAATGCAAACACAGCCACCAACGTCATCAACATCACCACCAGCTGCAACAACTCTGCGATTAGACAATATTGCCTAATACCACTCATTAAATAATACGGTTCATTAGATTACTCATTTTACAGAACAGAAACCATTACATAACACACCTCCTACTGATAGCTGAGCTCTTGAGAAAATGAAACACATAATTCAAAACAAAAAACTTTCTCAATAAATCGAGATCACCAGCGAATTAACCTTCTATGCTAAGTGAACAAGGAACATTGCAGAGTGAAAACTAAAAAACATGATACTACGGATAAGAATGAACTGATTTCACCTTTCGCTTTGCCTTTATCTTCAGTTGTATTTTGTTGAACTGTGCCTTTTTGTACCTAGCAGTGTCTCCTCCTTGATCGCATCCACCGCGACCACATCCGACAGTAGAGGGAGAGGAAGCTATACCAGCAGCAGAAGCATATCTTCCCGAGGGGGAGGTGAAACAGGGGGTTGATCTGGTGACTGGCAGATGTACACCACCATTGCTACATTTAGTCAACGACCTGTTCATTACAAAAGCATTTTTCGATTTGTTCATTTCCTGATTTTTATAATTTGGCTTGAAATTTTTAGAAAAAAAAATGTTTTTTTTTGTGTCAAAAAATTTCAAAAGTCAGTTTTTTTTATGTCATTTATCATCTCTTTTCTTTTAATTGAAACGTTTTGACAACGTTTTGCAAACGTTGTGATGCAAAATAGCCTAAAAGTTATGCAGTTTGACAGTTAGATTAATTTAAAAAATCAAAGTAATAAAACCAAATTAATATAAAATTTGAATCATAAAATTACAAGTAATATATTTGTGAAACTCTGAGGACTAAACATGCCAAGGCTATCGAGTACGCATCATAATTCAAGGAGCGCGGGCCGTATTTAGACAACTGCGTTTTCATACTCGTCAGTAAGCAGACAAATACTATACTAACCAATCAGAATCGAGATGGGAAAGCAAACTTACGAAATAAATAATTATTATCATTTAATTTCTTCCTTGTCTCAATTCTGATTGGTTAATACAGTATTTGTCTACTGAATGACGAGTAGGAATACGAGTTTGTCTAAATACTGCTAAGCATAATTCAAAAACAAATCAGCGATACGAATGAAATTTTTTGACATTTGGATTAAATGAGAAGGTAAAAAAAAAACTAAAACGTTTCACTATAAATCAAGAATTAAAGAGTAGACTTTAGGACAGACATTATAAAGCGGGCAGTTATTTAGAAAAAAATAGAGACTTCAAAAACATTTGTTGACACCTGAAAAGGCAGGCGAGATACTCGTCCTTATACAATCAGAGTTATTTTAATTAGGTCTTGATTTATTTCAGAAGAGCGCGCATAATTACCAAAATTAATCTCCCATTTGTTAATTAGCAGCAGGAAACCAGAATTGTTTGTTGCAGCCAGGGGCAGATCAAGGATTTTTTCGAGGAGGGTCGGATTTTCGAAAAAAATTCAAAAAATTGTTCGACCTTTTTTTAGGTTGAACAAATTGATTTTCTGAGCTCTCCCAAATCACTATAAAGACCCCATTTTGGACAAACTTTCGCAGGCAAATTAAAAAAAAAAAGGCCACAAAGGCGTTTTGAAGCACTTTTTTGGAAAATTTTGACCAAAAAATTGCGTTTTTTTGGCGCGCGCTTTTCCCTCAAAATTAGTATATATTGGTGCCAAAGGCGCCTGCAGAAAAATTATAGGATCAATGCCTTTCCGATCACTAAAAAAGGAAAAGTTATAAAAAAAATTACATCAATAAAAATCTTTTATATACCAAAACAACTTTTGAGATAGTTTATATTCCACGCTTGATTGTATTTTTCATGAATAGCAGGACTGCTTGTATCAGTGCAAAGCCCTGAAAGTTATATGTTTTGACCGTGTTTGAACTTGTCTGACGAAGCTTTTAACAAAAAAAATCATATTTTCAAAAATATCATCAAAAAATGTTTTATTTTTAAATTTTTTAATAAAAATACTGTAAAAGTTCAAAAAAGAACGACCAATTTTGATTCTAATAAATAGTATTTGTTGTACTGGATGTGATTGGTGTTTTTCTTCAAATAAATTTTGAGTTAGGCATATCAATTTTTTGTGCTATTTTTGCGTAAACGGCTATGTAAGCTTCTTCAAAATTGATCAAATTGAATTGAGACCAAATATGTGGTCTTAACAATCCAACTTTGGAAGATTTTTGTAAAAAGAAAATCCGGCTCGAGTATTTTTTATACTAACCAAGTTCTACAGTTTGACTAGCGATTTTTGGCAAAATTTATAAGATCTGAAAAGTTTTATTGTATTAAGTTCAAACTTAAGAAGATTATTCACAAGAGATCATTGGTATAAAAATTAGGGATTTTGAAAATTATTAGTTTGGCCTATTTGGAACAATTAACGCGCGAGAAAATTGTCTTATTAACGCGTAAGAGACTATTTTATCCGATCATAAAATGTACCAAATTGAATTTAGTAAAGATATTTGGTGTAATCAAATCACGTCTGAATGCTAAGAAACATCACTTTGTACTTGGTATAGCGTGCAAAGGAAGTATTCCAGAAAAAAAAAATTCTTCATTTTCTTTGGAAATATCTATTTTTAAGTGATGTTTTCAAAAGCTTTTTCAATGACATTGAATCAAAATCATAAACATCAGGCAGTCTTGTCAATACCTTGGTAGACTCTTAATACATGAATATGCACTTTGGTAAAAGCTATATACCTTATACTTATATATCGTCTAGAGAGAAAATTATTTTTAAAAAAACTTGCATTTTGTGGCCAAACGGTGTACTGGACAGGCGCACTTTCTGGTTTGTCTGTAAGTCACTGAAATCCAGAAACAAGTATTTAAACCTGTTAAAAACTTAGTCGGTAAAATCAAACGAAATACAAGACCAAAAAAAGTTTTAAGGAAGCGTTTTTCTTGCAAAATTCGCTCAGAATTCACAAAAACACAATCTGTCCTCGTAATGTAAGGAATTCTGCAATTTACACCTTTAAAAATCCTAGAAATTTACAAACAACAACTTTAAAATTTCTTTAGAAATAGGCAAGGCGAGCCATTTTTTATATTTAGTTCAAAAGTCAAAATTGGTCTGAAGAAAGTTTCATCGAGCATAAAACTTCATCAAATGATGGAATGTCATATAAATACGCTCAATCGGTCATTTTCATCCAAAAGCTTGACTTTGATATTTTAATTCATGATTTTTGCGTTCTCTATTTAACGAAAAAATGTGCGAAAACTTAGAATACTTTTTTATAAGTCGAAAAGAAAGCTTTCGATTTAAATTCTTATAACTCTCTTTTATGCACATAGAATAAGAAGATACGGTTGCAATGAAATTAGCTCAAATTAGGAGGATTAAATATTCACATTAAGGTTTTCTTCCTTGCTCCTGCTCATCCCCACCCCCTTACCGCTACGGTAAAGCGCTGCGACTGTCTTTTACTTTCGTCCAAACTGCTTTTCCATCGGAAAGTAAAATGTGAAACTATTTTCAAAATTTCAGTTATTAGAACAGAATTCTCCATTTAAAAACGGCTGAAGGACAAAACTTCTTCAAAACTGAAATTTATGTGCATTTACTGGTTACATAAAATCCGAGTTTTAATGGTTTTAATGGTTTAATACAAAAGTTCTCACTGCTGGTTTTTAGTTTTTAGTGAAAAAAGTCTAACGCTTGGCTAATTGGTATCATATTACAGACTCAAATTGAATTACTGTCCATCAGGAAGAATGATCTCAAGTCGCATTATGGTGTTGAATTTTACTCTTTATTACTCAGTGGTGTTCAGTAATCGGTGCAGAAATTTGAGCTCACCGAGGGGGGTGATGAATTTTTGCAAAAAAAAAACTTTTTTTGCAAGCAAAATCATCTTTAAGTTTTTTTTGTTCAGTTTTTGAGAAAAACCTTAAAAAACGGTCTTCTTGAAAATTTCATCGAAAATAAACAGCTATTAAAGTTGTTTTGAAAAATTTCCTTCTGAAAAAAAATGCTGATATTGTCATAAATTTTGCTGCAATATTTTTTATCCCGCGCAGACAGAAAAAAGACTGCTCGTATCAGGGCAAAGCTTTGAATGTTTTGACAGCCTTAAAACTTTATGAAGCTGTGTTCGCTTTATAACAAAAGATGAATTTTCCAGGATGAATTTAAAAAATTAAATCTTGAGAGTTCTTTTACAAATCAAACCATATTATGTACAAGTTGAGAGACTTCGTTCCTAATAACATAGCAATTATGGCAAATAACCTGCTTTATTCAGTTTGAAACAGTTTCTAAGACGGATAAAATCTCCGCTTACGCGTAAATAGCGCGATATAATTTGCGCGTTAATTGTCCCAAATTGTTCAAAATGGCAACATTTAAGCCCCGTTACTTAACGAAAAAATGATCCCTGATGAAATACTTCCTACATTTGAGCTCAAAACCTTTCAGATGGTTTAAAACAACTCCGTCAAAAATGGCTAGTTAAAAGACAAAATGTGTGTGAAGAAAAAAAACAGCACTAGCACAAATATTCCGTCATTTTCTTCGAAAGTGTGGAAAGTCAGAACATAAATTCAAGTTTGCAGTGACATAAACAAAAAGACAAAAACAATAAATAAATTGGCCTAGAGTATTTTTTTTTTCATCTAGACTGCTTTTATCAGGGCCAGGGCTTAGACTTTCCACTCCAAAAATATTTTGAGTGATTGAAGTAAATTTAGGCTTAGATTTCCGATGAAGGGATAAGAAAAAACAATAGTACAAAGCTTGAAAACTTTTCATTTCAAAACTCTTCTCTATCCATCCAAGGTGAAGTACAAAATTATGTACGCATCTGTTAGGACATTATTTGGTTCAGCTAGTGAGCCAAAATTGGATTAATTTGCCTCATTTGCAACGCGCTGAAAAAAAAAGAAAAATCAGGCATTTTAACTACAAATTTTTATAAGCTGCGTCGATTTTTCTGGCGCCGCTAAGAAACAAGAAAGCCCGTACCCGGTCAAAACCTTGACTATTCCAAATGCCTTTTAAGGTCTATGCAGGAGTCTTTGCTTCAAAAAACAATTCAAAAAAATTTAAGGTTTTTGAAAATTGTGCTTCTATAATTTTCAAAAAACCATGCAATTTTTTTTATAGTTTTTTGTTTATATAAATTTTGATATAAATTTTAGGGTAACGATTTTTAGATTTGTGAGATTTATCTTTTAGATTTGTAATAATATAAATACACCTCAATAATAATATAATATACCTCACTTTTGAATCACGGTTGTTATGATTATTGTTCGATACGAAAGTAACGGAATATTTGTGCTCGGGGTGGGTTTTTTTTTTCTTCAGACAAATTTCGACTTTTTAACTAGCCATTTTTGACGGAGTTTTTGTATATCATTGGAAAGGTATTGTTGTCCTGAGCTCAAATTTGAAAAGATATTTCACTCACCTGTGATCATTTTTCGTAAAGTTATGGGGGTTTAAAGATTGGCATTTTGGCCAATTTGGGACAATTAACGCGTGATTTATTTCGCGCTATTAACGCGTAAGCGGAGAGTTAATCCGTCTTAAAATTGTTCCAAATTGGTTGAAAGACGCCTATTTGCCATAATTGATTTGTTACAAGGAGCGAAATCTATTCTTTTGTACTTTATATGGCGTTTGGGGCGATGATTTTCATAAATAATTTCTAACTTAAGAAAAAAAATTTCACTTTATTTTTTTACATTTAATTTTTTTATTTTATTACTGCTCCATAAATTCTTAAAAAGCAGTCGGAACAATCAGGGCTTCGCCCTGATACGAGCAGTCTTGTTCAGTTTACCCACAAACAAAGGTCTAGGTTAAAATTTGCAATATTTTATATCCAGTATGAAACTAGTAATCAAGATCAAAAACAATTATGTTTGCTCTCAATGTTCAAGGTGTAATCTAGAAAAAAATTATTTGCGTCCGATTTGGAAGCTTTTTGCATTCCCTTGACAAAAAGAATCATGTGTTTACAAAAAAAAAATTTTATTGCTTTTTTTTGTTTTTTTTTGGTTAATGGGTGGCAATGTTTTTTCAAGCTTTTCTTTTCCCCGTAGAAAAAAATAATCATTACGAGGTCAAGCGGTGCTGTTTGGGAAATTTACGTTACGACAAAATTACTTACAGGTGTTTGTGCGCGGAATCCACGGAAACTTTATTAGTGGAAGTGGCTTACATTTTGGAACATGTTTTGAGTCTTAGGATTCCACTGACGTACAGATACCATGTTGTGCGCCTATTCAGTTCACAGTTTGACCACGTAAACATGGTTTTATAGTATTTTTTTTTCTAATTTGTTCCCAAGAAAACTTACATGTAATTGTTCTGATAAGACAACGAAACTTTTAAGTGGGGTTATTATCGTACAAGAAAACTGATTCTGGATATTTGCATTCAGAATTTGCATTCCGAAGTATTTTAAATAATCACAAAATTGTTATTACATTTGTTTTCCAAACTAAAATTAGTCGTTTACTCTGTACCTGACCAATGTGGGACAAATATAACTTTAAAAAATAGAGTTGAGGAATAATATAAATGAAAAAAGAGGGAAAAAAGAGAAGTTTGAATACATATGACCGTGAGCAAATTTCAAGACACTTAATTGAAAAAGATAACATTTATAAAAATCAATGCACCCTATAGAAATATCTTCACTACGACGCTTGACACTTATTTATTTGCCCCTCTTTTTATTAAACAGAAGAGGGAAGATCTGATCAAAATGTTGGCTTTTTTAACCACTAAAATCTGACTAAAAGGTTGTTTTTTTTGCTAGCGTGAAACATAAAATGACAGATACGTAGTGCAACCGGGGATCTTCCTCTTGAAAATGTTTTTGACGTGCAGGAAATAAAGAGTACCAATTAGGACTCAAGGCCACTGAGCGGGTTGACCTTGTGCAGTTCGGGCAGTTTGTGCAGCTGTCTTTGTCATTGTGAGGGCCGTCACTTCTTCTGAAAGACCCCGCCCCCGTGCCACAACTGATGTTGTCGGTGTTGACTTGTGTCATCTCACTGTGGTTGCTATGTCTGTCAGATCCACATCCATTGCCCTGGTAGAGTATCTGGGCGTCCCGTTCGTTCCACAGTTGCGATCTGATCCTCCAGTACATTTTGCACATGATGGCCAAGGGGAAAGTGTAGAGAAGAAAAAATCGACTCCACTGGTACCTAGAAACAAATATACAAGAATGATGTTTGGGCCCCTGTGAAAGCCAAAAACGAAGTGTTTTGTGCTTCAAATATCTACTCAATAGGTTGAATTATCTCGTTTGGTTTTTGATTTTTCCACACTGAGCTCAGTTTGGCTTTAATGCTGCCGAAGGTGAAAATTTACTTTGTATTCGGGTGTGGTTTTTTCACGCAAACTGAAGCAGCTTAAAGAAACTTCATCGGAGACTAATTTAGCTATAAATGAAGCTCTTCTTAGTCTCAATGTGAGCTGCACTTGAAAACCAACAAGACTGCTCGTATCAGGGCGAAGCCCTGAATGTTCCGACTGCCTTTTAAGGTTTTATGGAGCAGTAATAACATCAAAAAATTAAATGTATCAAAATATATTTGAAAATTTTTTTTCTAAAATTTGAAATTTTTAATGAAAATTATCCCCCCACACGCCATATTAAGTACAAAAGGATAGATTTCGCTCCTTGTAACAAATCAATTATGGCAAATAAGCTTCTTTCAACCAATTTGGAACGATTGTAAGACTGATTAACTCTCCGCTTACGCGTTAATAGCGCAAAATATATTGCGCGTTAATTGTCCCAAATTGGCCAAAATGGCAATCTTTAAACCCCCATAATTTTACGAAAAAAGATCACAGGTGAAAAATCTTTTCAAATTTGAGCTCAGGACAACAATACCTTTTGAATGATATAAAAAAATTTCCGTCAAAAATGGCTAGTTAAAAAGTCGAAGTTTGTCTGAAGAAAAAAAAACCCACCCCGAGCACAAATATTCCGTTACTTTCGTATCGAAAGTCGGAACAACAAGAAATTTTCCCAAAGTCGAAAAAACATTTGAGCTTTTTGGCTTCTATCTTTGTATCGTGTTTGACGTCTGAGCAGCTGGCAATTGAAAGATATTTGTTTTTATAGCGCCACTTAATTTGTCAATTTGAATCAAGAATCATTTTTTCCAGAGCACGGACGGATTAAATTGAATGTGATGCTAGTGAAAGTAAAATTATTTTTGCTTATTTTTTAAATTTGAAGTTTTGAATAGTATTTAAATTAAATTTGACTAAAAAGGAAGTTTTTCAGGATTGTTAAAAATATCCGGAATTCTGATGCTCAAATTCTGTCGAGAGTTATCGCAATTCCAGTTATTCTTTTTGTTCCCACTTTCGATACGAAAGTAACGGAATATTTGTGCTCGGGGTGGGTTTTGTTTTTCTTCAGACAAATTTCGACTTTTTAACTAGCCATTTTTGACGGAAATTTTTTATATCATTCGAAAGCTATTGTTTTCTTGAGCTTAAATTTGAAAAGATATTTCACCTGTGATCATTTTTCGTAAAGTTATGGGGGTTTAAAGATTGCCATTTCGGTCAATTTGGGACAATTAACACGCGATATATTTCGCGCTATTAACGCGTAAGCGGAGAGTTAATCCGTCTTAGAAATCGTTCCAAATTGGTTAAAAGAAGCTTATTCGCCATAATTGTTTTGTTACAAGGAGCAAAATCTATTCTTTTGTGCTTATTATGGCGTGTGGGGTGATAATTTTCAAAAAAAATTCAAATTTTAGAAGAAAAAAAATTTCATTTTATTTTATTAAATTTTTTTTAAATGTTATTACTGCTCCAGGTCCCAATTTGTTTTGAGGCAAGTTTTTGGAAAAGATTATTACGTTGCTAGACGCTCATTGTATCATTCTATACAGTGTTTACACATAACTACACAAACTTCTGCAGTTTGCATAGGGTTTGGGGAGCAGGAAATTTTCAAAAAGAAACTGAAAATTTCATTTTTTTTTGAAATTCTATAATTCTTTAAACTATGATTTGATGATTTGTTCTTTGGCCGTAGATGTGTAGTCGGATATTCAGAGCTTTGCACTGATACAAACATACTTGTTTTGTATAATTTGAATAATCTCGTAATTTTATGTCAGGCTAGCAACATATTAACTCTGAGTGAAAACTTTCGAAAATTTTAATGTCAAAAGTGAAGTCAAACTGGTTCAAATAAAGCAACATGAAATTTAATTTGGACGCATGAAAACTATTGTAGATACTGCTCTCCCCATTAAATTCTATACAAAAAAAATGCCTACCATATAATTTTGATATTGAGTTTATCGAAAAATGCTTATTATACACTTTTCTTAGAAAAAAATAGTTTGACAAAATATCTTTTTACTTGATTTAAAACTCAAAGAAAACAAACTGGTTGCAGCTTTTGTTACATGTAATTAACTCTGTCATCGAAAAACAAATTCATTTGTGAACAAAAAAGTGCTTATTATACCAGTTTACATTTGAATCAAATCAGAGTTAAAAACTTTTTTTATCCTTTTTTGATCGCAAACTTGCTGCTGTGCTCAAATATACATTTTACAAAAACAAATTGCATGCAAAACTTGACTTTTTAGATTTATGATGAAGTCAGGCTGAGAATTTTAGACAGAAACCCAAAAATTACAAATAAACCTTTTTTTTCGTATGCTAAGATAAAATATAATTATATGTTTATAAAATTTTATAACTTACAAGAAAAAGACATTTTTTTCAATCACTGATAATTTCAAAAGTTTTCCAGCCATTAAAACTTTCAAAAGTTTTCCAGCCATTAAAAAAAGTTACCGTTTTAGTGAATAGTTCTGTGTGAAAATGTTCTAATGTTCTCTCTTGTTTTTAAGATACAGATTGTGGCAAGTTACTGTGATGTACACCTCGAGAATTGAGTTTGACTACCCGCATTAAAGTCTTATGGATAATAATAGTTTTTATAGGATTTTTATATTATGGATATCTAAAAATCGAAAATAATCACTGAACAGCAGCAAAACAAAATCCGTTCTAAATTGATTGTGATTGATTATTTCACGGTACGAGGCCAAGTTGTGTGTTTCGTGAATTCTAAGCCCATTCCGCAGCAAGAATGCGCTGTTTGTTTTTTTTTCTGTTCATTCATTTTCTTTGATCGTTCCGACAGAATTTAAACATGTTTAATTACTTGCTTCTGGATTTCAGAGAACTACACACACCAAATTGAGCACTTAACTAGTGCCCAGTTTGGCCTCGTAATGCAAGTTATATTTAATTCATCCTGAAAGAAATGTAATCCATTTACATCGGTGATAATGGGTTATAATTTTCAGACTCTTTTCGGTAAGCTATTTTCTTTTGTTTTGAATCAATTTATTCTTAAGTTAGTTATTTGACTCGCTAAATTTCTCATTCATTTTTCGTATTCAATTAGGTTTTATAAAAAGTTTCATTTTTAATTCTTTTCCATGTTGACCAAAACTTGCCATCGTAGAAATTTTTTTATAAGAATCTTACAATTTCTTACAAAATTAGGCTCTAAGAACTTTACAAGATAGGTAATTTTTCTTATTAGAGTGTTGTAAAGTACTGCCTTTTCTTACAAGAAAATTGTAAGATAAAAAATTTTCCTACAAATTCTTTATGATCAATTTCGAAAGTCTCCTCTGTCGCAGAGTTTAATATTTCGTAGCCAAATACTCATTGTGTTTCACGAGATTACCGAGAAAGCAACTAACTTTACGAAAATAGCTTTTGCTAATTTCGAAAAAAGAGATATAGTAAAAAAAAAACATTTAAATGTTTCGTTTCGGAACTTAATTATAACCACTATCTGAAAAATTTATTGGAGAATTTTTTTCGAGAGCCATTACGGTTTAGAAACACATTCAAAATGTTTTTGGCAATTTTTTAAAAATCTTAGAAGAAAGATGTAAGATAGCAGAAATCTCCTACAATCTTATATGAAGTTCTAAGATGGGGGCTTGGAAGCTATTCTGAAACCATGAAAAAAGCATTACATGGGCGGACTTTATATTTTCTAAATTTTCGTGTTTTGGTATTTCGCCATCTAGACAAGCTAATTATAATCTTAACTTTACGTGTATCGTAGGATTAGTATCTTGGAGTTTCCTGTTTTCTATTGAGTACTGGAAATTCAATCGAAGTGCGCAACCGGAAACTAGATAATAGTTTCCAAAAATACATCCTCTTCTTCCTCTATAATTTATTCAACAAAAATTTAATTAAGTGAAACAACAATTTATACCTACTGGCTGCGTTTTTAGGTCATTCTGTCCTGGATTAGTTAAAGAGCAAAAAACTGAGCTGAAATTGGCAGATTCTTTCATTAGAGAATTTTTAGATCCGCCCTTGTTGGGAAATCGTGGCTTGTGTCCGCTCAATTGCGATTAAAACTCATCTTTGGCAGAGTTGGTGGTCATAACTGGGGATTTAATGAGATTTTGCCAAAATTTGCATTTCTTTACTCTCAGCATGTTCCAGATTTCGCTATCATTTTCAAATTTTTAGAGCTAAAGAAAGAGTATTTAGCTTATAGGCATGGCATTCACTTTGAGACTTTGAGGTCGTCCAATAAAGGTAACACGTGAAAAATCTAGGCACCGAAGAAACGTCTTGGAGTGCCAGAAAAAAATTTCGCTGAGCAAAATAACTCAGTTTGGAGCGTTGAGAAATCATTTCAAAAAATAGACGAGTCTGTTCGTATCAGGGCAAAGCCCTGAATGTTCCGACTGCCTTTTAAGGTCTATGGTGCAACGATAAAATGAAAAAATTAAATGTAAGAAAAATCTGAAAAACTTAGGATTTGTTTTGAAAACATCCCCCTCACGTCATATTAAGTACAAAGTGATAGGTTTTTATCCTATTAACAAATCAATTATGGCATATAAGCTTCCTTGAACCATTTTGGAACGATTTTTAAGACAGATTAAACCTCGCTTACGCGTTTATAGTTCCGAAATATACCGCGCGTTAATAGTCCCGAATTGGCCGAAATGGCAAATAACTTTACAAAAAATAATCACAGGTGAAACATCTTTTCAAGTTTAAGCTCAGGACAACAATAGCTTTCGAATGATATGAAAAAGTTTTGTCAAACATGGCTAGTTAAAAAGTTGAATTTTGTCTGAAGAAAAAAAACCACACCGAGCACAAA